CCACCAGCGTCTACCGGCCAAAAATGTATCATATCAGAACAAAGGCATATTTAGGTGCATAAAATCATATTAAAACAACACAGCACAAGGAAGAGATGTTTAGTTCAACCAAAGAAGGAAGACTGATGAACCAATTACCAGGTCTTTATGACAATTCCACACATTTCAAGCAGCAAATCCACAATTCCCATGGTATATGTAGAATCACTGCGATTAGGATTGAAATCTTTGACAGCCATTGAAGGAGCTTTGATCTGCACAGAGGGAACATAAAATCATAATGTGAGAATAATTTTAAAACGATAACAAGAAAAGCTTGGATCACGCCATGATTTGAAAATAATACATACTAAAACATTCAGCATAGCTTGTGTAGTCGTCATTGGCTAGCTTATGTTGCTGATAAATAGTAAAACTATATGCTTATCCAACATTAGAGGATATATGGGCCGTATGCATGGTCAGTTGAGCAGTCACATTCAGTATATTTAGGATTTAACCATTGTCAATGCGGTATTACCGTGCCAGATTATGTTTGCGAATGTATTCTGCTGTGCTCCTCTTGGTCAAGTTTGCGAATGTATTCTGCTGTGCTCCTGTTGATATTGACCAAGAGAAGAACAATAACTAATCCATATGAACGAGAAGCAGAAGAGCATCATCCTCAATCAAACTTTGTGCTGCCAAAGGATGGTTTTCCAGTGCTTTCATAATATGCACATCGCTCCCCCTCTACGTGCATAATTATAGGTTAGAAACAAAAAGAAAGTTAAAAACATACCATGAACCGATAACATAACAAATACAACAGCACAATAACGTATTACCAAGCACTACTACTGGCTGTAGTTAAAGATGTGGCAGGGTTGAACTTTTACCGAAAGGTCCAAAACTAAGCAAATCATTTTTAAGGATTCATTTTCTAACGTATAAAAACTACCAAAAAATTCCAACAAAATTATGCATCTGTACATAAACAAAGTTAAAATCAAATAGAGCTCTCCAACTTGACAAGACAACAGTGATGGCCCTTTTGCATTCACTGAAGAATTACCCATTACTTCACTGTAAGTTCATGAAGAATTACCCGTTACTTCACTGTAAGTTCATGGATGACAATACAAAAAGGATCCAGTTACCAAAATCTGTTGTCTTGTCAAGTTGGTAACTGGATCCTTTTTGTTTTGTCATCCATGAACTTACAGTGAAGTAACGGGTAATCCTTTTTGTTTCCATCACTGATTGAATATATTGGTAACTGGATCCTTTTTGTTTTGTCATCCATAAACAAGTTTTCAGTGGCACAAGGATGATAAAGTGGAGTAAACGTAGCTCAAGATTCATACACACAATATATTCAATCAGTGATGGCCATTTTTTTTTTGTCATCCATGAACTTACAGTGAAGTAACGGGTAATTCTTCATGATGGCAAGAGTTATCATCAATGAAAGATATATAGAATCTGTAACCATCAAAAGACTCTAAGGTTGCAGGTCCCCAAATGTCGGAATGGACAATTTCAAAAGCTTTGGTAGCTCTAGAGAGAGAATGGGGAAAGGGTAACCTGGTAAACTTAGATTTGTGACAAACTTCACAATCTGGGATCACTTTACAGAAACTAGGAAAAAGAAAAGACATAACATGTGAAGAAGGGTGAGCTAATCTCATGTGCCACAGCTGCTCCTTGTTTACTGTGTTTGAGTTTACGTAGAAACTCTTTGGAAAACTTGAAGAGAAGTTGACATAGTATAGGCCATTGAGGAAGAAACCTTTACCAATCGTTTCCTTCGAAACTCGATCCTGGAAAATCACACAGTGAGTGGAAAAAATTGCAAGACAATTGAGCAATTGTGTTATTCTTCCTACTGACAGCAGTTTGAAAGGAAAAGAAGAGACATGCATGACAAGGGATTCTTTTTTACTCGAGAAGATTTTGAGTTTCCCTTTGCCTACTATACGAACTTTGGTGCCATTAGCTACGGAGACAAAAGAAGGAGTGGAGAAGTTTTGAAAATCATTTAGTAAAGATGCATCGTTAGTCATGTGATCAGAAGCTCCTGAGTCAACTATCCAAAAATCACGACTACTACTAAGATCCAATGCAGTGGAAATAGTTGCAACAATACCTGGCACATCATTTTGTGGCACTGAGCTTGATTGTTCGAGGAAGCCAGCAAACTTGCCGAGCATGGCTGAGGGAATTTCATGATTTGTTGTTCCTTGTTTCTGTTGCAAGAAGTTAGCAAATTCATTTATGGGAGTAATGGGACTAGAGGAAGAGTTTATCACATTATTGGAGACATTGTCGCAAACAAGGTTTCCTCTAGGAGTGTAGGCAGGCTTCATTTGGTTTCTTGGTGCTCTTCCATCATCGTTGAACTTGGGTTTAAGTTCTGGATGAAGAATCCAGCACTTTTCTTTTATGTGTCCAACACCTGGACGACCTATCTTCACACAGTGAGAACACTTTAAGTCTTGTCGTTTTCCCTTGTATGGTCTGGAGAAGGTGAAGGCTCTCGCTTCTGATGGCCTAAGATCTGATTCTCCAACGACCACGTCTGCGTTCATGACCTTCTTTCTTACTTCTTCGCATTGAATAACATTGCAGACCATCTGGAAAGTGGGAAGTTCGGGTGTCATCAAGAGATGACTTTTAAGGTCTTCATACTCTCGTCCAATGCTGGCAAGCAACTGGAACACCTTGTCTTTTTCAGCACGCTTTAAAAGAATGGTTGTGTCCGTGGTATGAGGTCTGTAGAGATCCAATTCATTCCATTTGGCCTTCAAGTTGCCAAGATGTTGAACAAATGAGAGATTTCCCTGTTGTAATTCCGTAAGGTCTTTCTTTAGCTGGAAGACTCGCGCAGCATTGTTTAGATCTCCATACATGTCTCGTACAGAATTCCAAAGGTGGTGAGATGACACTGAATAACTGAAAATCTCAGCCATCTTTGGTTCCATAGAGTTTAACAGCCAAGACATGATAAGTTGATCTTGGGACACCCATGCTGCATAATCTGGTGAAGTTGTTTCGGGGATGATGTCATCCTTTTGAATGAACGGGAGCTTTCCACGTCCTCCAAGAGCGAGAGAAATAGCTCGTGACAAGGGCAGATAGTTGAATTCGTTTAGGAGCACAGAGCTCAAACGTTGAATTGGGTTGGTATCCATGGTTTTGTTTTTTGAAATTTTATCTGCTGGTGTTGCCATAATGGCTTAACTGGTTTGGATTTCGGAAGAACACAGAGGCAGGTCCAAGAGGGATCACTGCTCTGATACGATATAGAAAACTTGATGTATATTTCATGTGTAAAACAGTTACAAGTTCATACATAAATAGAAGAAGAAACGGGAAAGAGAGTGGAGAACAAAAGGTAGGGGACAATGGCAGCTCAGCAAGTATAATGATGACCTCCACTCTCTCTAACTTAAGCCACTAACAAGCTTTACAGCCACTAACAAGCTTTACAATGATGAGGGAATAACAAACAACTAATACTAGCACTAAGACTAGCTGAATGCAAGTTGAGCTGTTATCCATCAAGGCTAGATAATGCTTGCATTATTCTTCCAATAGGGTTCAAGACTGTAAAGACTGATACTTCAATACTTTGATCTGCACAGAGGGAACACAAAATCATAATGCGAGAATAATTTTAAAATGATAACAAGAAAAGCAAGGATCACGCCAAGATTTGGAAATAATATATGTTAAAAAAGTCAACATAGCCTGTGTATTCATCATTGGCTAGCTTATGTTGCTGATAGATAATAAAACTATATGCTTATCCAACATTAGAGGGTATATGTGCTATATGCATGGTTGAGCAGTCGTACTCAGTATATTTAGGATTTAGCCATTGTCAATGCAGTGCAAGTGTATAATATATTACCATATCAGATGATGTTTACGAATATATTTGCTGTGCTCCTGTTGTCATTGACCAAGAGAAGAATAAGAATCTGGAAAGATAACCTCAACTTAGCACAAACAAAATCCAAATTACGGGTTCCAAAACTAATTGAAGGTTATGATTGTGGAAAATGTTGCTATCCAACTATGTCTTACAAATAGGGAAGGCAATACATGTAATGTATCTACCTGCATAACAAGTCTATGAAGGCCCAACTTATATCGAGAGAACTGTCAATGACCCAATCGCAACCATCTGAAAAAGCAACCGAAGAGAATCATCCTCAATCAAACTTTCATAGTATGCACAGCACTCCCTGTACCCGCATAATTATAGGTTAGAAACAAAAAGAAAGTTAAAAACATACCATGAACCGATAACATACCAAATACAATAGCACAATAACGTACAAGCCAAGACTAGGTTCAATATGAAAAAATTGTCACTCACTACTACCGGCTGTTTTTGTGGTATTACTTTTGTATTTATAGATATAAGATAAAAAAATAAAATAAAAAGAAGATATTACTATTTTTGTAAATATAACATGCTAATTAGATAGAAGATATTACTATATTTTGCAAATATAACATACTAATTATTTTGTTGATTAATATGCAACATCGACTTGCAGTACGTGACAGACAATTGTATTGTGGAAGTCATAATGTTTCTACTCGCCCAAGCTTGCCGTTTAGATCATTCTTGTGGAAGTCATAATATTTAGCTCTTGGTTACCCGTATCCGTACACCGTATGTTACCTTGTTTGAATGTCGAATCATAAATTCAGATAGGGAAGAATTTAAGTTCATCTATATTCTATTTATTTATGCATTTAAAATTATTATTCTTTAATTTAAACCTAAAATAAAAAGAATACTTGTAGAAGGAGTAAACGGGTGTGCATAACTTGTTTATGTACAAAAATTTACTCTCGAAAATACTATTGTGGAACAAAAAATAATCCAAAAAATCATGTAGGTGTTACGTAGATTTTTTTAGCGGAAAAAAAAAAGTAAAAAAGAAGGCCCAACCCGAACTGGACCGTGAAGCCCAACGCTATAAATAAAAGGGAACCGGAACCTCCGCCACCAACTCACGGAATCGATTCCGATTATCAAATCCCTAAAATTCCTTATGGAGCGTGATCGATCTGCAATCTCAGAGAGAGAGATAAAGAATATGGCGTCGGCGTCATCGTCATCGTCATCGTCGGCTTCGGCGTCAGCTTCAGGGTCAAAGTTAAGGGCAGACGCGAAACCCTACATACGGGGGTCGAACATCGGGTTTTCGTCGGAGGTACCTCTACCTGCGACTCTGTGCGCTTTCCCGGTTTGCGACGGTTCGAGGATGCCAGTACCGGTGTTCAAACCTTTTCCGGATTCTCCTATAGAAGAAGTAGCTCCTGGAGGATATACGCCAGGGCTTCTCCCCCCAGGTGATTGATTCGGACCCAAACTCTCTCTATTTTTTATTTATTTAATTTTTTTTACACTAATATTGTTGCTAAACAAATAAACTTTGAGTACCATTTTGATTTGACATTCAAATGATGATTTAATATTCAAAACCGTAAATTGACATGAATCGAACCGGAATCGGTATTAACTCGATTTTAGTAATAAATTTAAGTCGAACCGAACCGTTGAAATTTTCTAGTTTTGGTTTGAAGATTAAACTGCACCAAATTGCATCATGCCCACCTCTAATTGGATTCCAGCATCTACTAGTTATGTAACCGTTCTATACTTATTATCTTATATTTATTTAAACGATTATCCATAACCGTAACCATCAATTTTAAATCATCAATTTTAAATGGACGGATACTCCTATCCATGTATATTTTGGCCAGACCTATTCATTATTCACGTCCCATGCCTTGTTGTACCGTGAATTCTTACTAGGGCTTCTTGTTTGGTTTTTCAAGGTTTAGTATGCAACTTATTTCTCAGTTTTGAATCCTTCTTAGACGAAAATCATTATGCAATCGAAAACATTCGGTTTATATTGATTCTAAAACTGTCACAACAGATGAAAACTCAGCGCGGGCTTTTGTAAAGAATTTCATTTCGGTCCAGTTGTCCAAGGTATCTGAGGAAGTTGATGAAAGTTTAGTTGATTATGTCAATGCATTGGACCCTTCTAAAGTTGCTGCTCAAGTGGAGGCTGTGCTATTTGAACGGTGGGGTTTCTTTGATCTGTCGAAACCAGTGAGTAGAAACTATTCGGTGGTTTTAAGTCGCCTGAGCAACGATGGTATCAAAGATTTCCGCAGACACATTCTTCTTGGAGAGATCTCCCCGCAGACATTGTTCAACATGTCCTTAGATGAACTGTGGCAGAAGTACCTGCCCCCAAACAGAATGGGCCCTATGGTTTGGGAGTTTTGACAGCAGCAGGAGGATCAGTGCAAGGATGTTATATATGTGTGTAAATATGTATATGTGTGTGTGTGCGTGTGTGCGTGTGTGAAATTTGGCAAGACTGACTTGTTTTAGCAGAACTTAAGATTTAGATGTTGTTAGTGGTTTTCTCTATTCATTTGAACCTAGTCTATATCTTGTTTTATGTGGCAAACTGATATTTTCTCTCAAGATATTAGTCCATGACACCTCGCCTGAGAATTCGTTGCAACAGCATACCTCCGTGCACTAGGTTGGTTTGTAATCTTTATGCGTATCTCAAGCATAAGTTATATGCTGAACTGCCATCATTAGAGGAAAGGATCACCCGGCTTGAAATATGGATCCAGAAAGAAAATGGGTTATGTTTTGGAGAAAATCTAGTATACAACAGTCTCTACTATTAATCGCACTGATATTGTTTCATAGTATGGTTGGCAGGAACATCGCGTGCCAAGGCGTTTGTGCGCAGTCCCCTTCTTCAAAAGTTGACAGAGACTGGAATTCATCCGGACAATGTCCACACATCAGATTGACTTAATCATACTAGTTTCTTCATCAAGAACACCAAATTCTACTTCATGCCCTAACATACTCTCAACTTCCCACTTCACATGGCCGTCTCTAAGATTTCGGGGGCCTTTGGGTACTCAAGTCCTCTCACACTTTCAAGCTGGGTTCGTTTACTTATTCCAGCGAAGTTTTCTGAATGCATGGATAAACAACCGCATCCGTAATAATGTCACCTTTTACTTAACCTCTATATAAACTCAGGATCCAACATTTGCGTTCCAGACCAATTGATTGCATGTCACCAGCACTTCAAATTTGCCAAACTATCACTTGAACGGGTGGTGACCTTTCTATCGCTTTACAAACATTTATTTGACGGGTGATAACACTAACATCTATTTGACAGGTGATAACACACACAAACACCTATTTGACGGGTAATAACACTAAAACTATGTCGTTGAAAAAAGTTTCTCCGGTTCTGTACTAGGCTTTTGGCATCTTAGCCTCTTTCATCTCTTTGTAGAGATGGAGGGCTCCCTGCGCATCATTTTGACCAAGATTGTACTCTGTACCATTTAGTCCATGCTCATCCATTGCATTTTGTATGTCCCCAACTAATTTAGCCGGATCTCGAGCCTGGACCAAAATTATTCCGGCCACAGTTGAAAAGCAAGTTCCTTTAACTGTAAATGTACCTGGTAATCCCAAAAAATCTTGTAAACTCAACTCGGCCAAAGAAGAAAACCCAAAAGAACACAGAAACCGGCCCCGCATTTGAACAAGCTCGAAGCTGAGGATTCCGAGAACATATAGAACCGAAGTTGTCCAATGATGGCTCAATTTCTTCACAGAAAAGAATCTCAACCACAAAAACATTTACGACTCAATGCCCAACTTCCCTAAAATAACGAGCTTTTGTAACTTGAGGAGCAAGTAACCTAAGACATTGAAGTGGCCAACTTCGTTGAGGCGTTTAACCAAGCAGCTTGTGATCGAACTGGACTGAGGTTGAAAGGAGAAAAGCGTTTTACTGGACGTGCAGGGATAAGTTCAAGTTGATTTGGCGTTAGCATGTCGGCGGAGATGACAAGAGACCGGCAGAAAAAGAAGAAATTTTGGATATCTAGTTTAATAAAAGGGAAGTGCTTCCGCAACCCCCATTTGTTCCGGTTACGTTTATGTTTATTTATGTCTTTTTAATTAATTTTCTAATTTAAACCATAAAAAAAATTAAAAAATTAAAAAATCGCCCAAAGAGTAATCGAGTGTGCAGAACTTGTTTCTGAAGAGAAATATACTCTCAAAAATATTTTTACTATAATTGCATTATTTTCATTTTTGGCATGCTAAAACCTACTCAAACCGTTGAAGTAAAATTCAAATTTTAAGTTATAAACATACTCCAACTTGCTCCAACCCATAGGCCAAATATGAGTTTTAACCCAAAATTCATTTTTAGGGCAAGGCTGACCCACAATATATGTATATTTTTTTAGTTTTATATTTATAAATTTATTGAATTCAACAGCTAAGATCTAATATTAAAAAAGAAGATCTAACGGTCCAAATTTAATTCTAACGACTAAAATAATTATAAAAAAAAAATTATTTCATAAGTTTCATATTCTTTCATAGTGTTCCACAAGTTTTATGGTGTGGATTTAGTAATTTTTCAATACTTATTGGAATCTAAATATTTTTAGATTAAAATGTTCATAACATTAAATTAGGATAGTCTACATTTTTTATTTATAAAAAAGTTAATTTAATAATTTTTTTTCTTAAATTCATTATTTAATAATCTTGAGCTAAAATTTAACCCATAAGGATTAGAGCAAAAAAACTGCTTCTGAGGACCTGTTTGTTTCAATTTGAATCCAATTTTTAAGTGTTAAACCTAAAATTCTTGTTTGGTACGACTACAAATTTAAATAGCATCCAACATGTTTATTAAGCACTTCTCATGAACTATCGCACCTTGTAAACTCCACTACTTGGCCAAGGAAGAAAACCCCAAAAACACAGAAACCGGCCCGGATGTGAACAACCTCGAAGCTAACTCGCATACCGTATTTGATCCTAAAGGTGGTGAATAGCTGACATTGAGGTGCCAAACTTTTCCATCGATCTAAGATTTTGAGAAATATAAACCTGTTAACCCAAGAGTAACTTTTATCCATTAACCGACGACCCCCTTTACTTGACATTGTCGAATCACTAAGGTCAACTTTCATCCCAGCTTGACGGGTGGGTCTAGTAATCAAACTCCATTCTCTCATATTTAATAATGTCAAATTTTCGAAATGGAGCTCATTAAATTTTCGCATTCTTCTTCTTGGACAACATTGCACCTACAAAACAATTAACACCTTACGTCAAGGCCAAAAGCCTCACGCGCCCACGATGAATGGGGGGGGGCTTTGGCCGAAGAACCTCCAATGCCAAAGTTAGAATTTAGAGATAAAAGTATTTGGAGAGTTTTGCAAGAGTGTGGAACTCTCTTTTTTAGAAAAAAATAGGGTCATATATATAGGGTATGGAGGTGGCCGGCCTTTAGAGGTTTTTTGTGTGAAAATGGGTGATTTAATTGGTGATTAATGGATTAATTAGGAATTAATCCATGAATTAGCCAATTAATCTCCATTTATATGGAATAATTTGTAGGTTATGAAGTAATTACCTAAGATGAGGATGGATGAGATTATTTGGAATTGGTTACCTTTTTTGGACACTCTTGGCTTGATTAAAGAATGAATGTCCACTGCTCGCGCGTAGGACAACTGATGTGTCTCAAGGGTAACTCTGTCATTTTTATCAAAAATCCACGTGTCGCCTTATGATTATTTTTGGCTCCACAATTAATACGACAAAAAATGTAAATTTTCTCTATATGTATCATATATCTTGATGTACAAGTATGAATGTAAATAATATAACCTTAGTGACAATGAACAGAAGAAGGGGGTTTTTTTTGGGGGGGGGGGGGGGGGGGGTACTGTTGTAGTCGATTGTATGATGTATGTTATTGCTCTTCTTCATAATTTAGTTTTAAAAGAGGATGAAGAAACCACCAAATTATAATCTTGAAATTATAAATTTGGCTTGACTATATTTTAGACTCTTCGGATTTCGGGTGAATTTTCAAATAGGAGGCGAAGTTTTTTTTTTTTTTTTTTTTTGCATTGCACTTTAAGGTATTGAAATTATATAAATTTGTGTCTTTGATAAGATTAATTGTATGATGTTTCATTAAATTGATGACGTGGTGAGCTTGAGATTTTTATATTGCTAATGTGTAATCCACATTTATACCACATTAACAAAAGAGCTTGTGAGCTTAATGGATGATTAAACGTTCAAATAGACAAAATATGTAACAATTTACATATTTTAAAATCTCATAATTCAAAGCGCGAAAATTAAAATCTCATGAAGCATTTTGAAAATCAGCTCAAACATAAAAAGTAAAAAATGTAATTAGCTCATAAAATTCATTCCCGAAAATCCAATGGCAGTAGTCGACCCGAGTATCAATCAAATCCCCGAACCCTAAGGTACAGTTTGATGCGTGTGATGAGACGGAACGCGCTCGTCTCTCATTTGGTGTGTCAAAGACAGTGGGATGCGCCATCCCATGGAACAAAATTTGGTTAAATTTCTGATCCACCTCTCTCCCTTGAACGACTCGTTCCACCCCGTGAAACACAAAATTATAAATTTTAAGACAAAAACGCCCCTTATCTTTTTCAATATTTACACCATCCAAATCATAAAACAACCCCTAATCCATCTTCTCTGCCGCTGCCTTTCTTTTCCCTAGCCTTCCTCCTCATTCTCATTCTCTCCTCATCCTCTCCCGTAGCCGCCAACTGCACCCAGCCAGCAGGCAGCAGCACGGAGCCACTTCTGTCACGCTGCAGATTGACCCATGTATATGCGATGCTGAAATTAGGGTTGTGTGTGGGTGTCTCTGCAGTTAAAGCCCTAGAGCTTTTTTGATTTTCCTCCCGAATTCGTTTTCTCTAAGTTTTTAGGGTTTATGCGATGTTGCAAAAGGTCAGAAATTGGGTAATTAGTGAGGAATTGGAGGAGTAGGTATGTGTTGCTATTTGGTTCTAGGTTTAAAGTGAGTTTATTGGGCTTTTTCTGTGAGAGAAATTGATGGAAGGGAGAAGGAGAATCTCGGCGAGTCCTCGGCCTTGCAACTGTAGGAGGGTGGTGGCGAACTGCGACCTTGCTGCAGTAGCAGGTAGTATACAAATAAAAATAAAAAAACCAGAAAAGGCAAAACCATCGCAAAATCGTTTAAAAATTCGCCAGTTTAGGCCAATTTTAAACGTTGAGTCAAAGCTGTAGAATATGAAAACCCTTTAGTTGTAGCTACCTCTGGAAACTTGTAGAAAAAAAATTCAAGCATACAAAGCGTACAAGTAAAAAAGGAAAACCATAATACGGATTTGCCATTTGACAATACTCAAGAAAAATGAATGTTTCCTGCCTCCTTTTTAGAGTGCATGGTACATAGAGGGGAAAAAAAAGGTCCCAAATAGCCATGAAGAAAGAATAATTAAGGGTTAGCACATATGTGTTCAAATATGAACAAGTTCAATAAAAAAAAATAATGTTCTGTTTCGTCCCACCCATAAACAATGTACTAAATAACAGACGGAATAAGGGTAAGTTAGTCATTTAATTT